AGCAGCAACCATACACCCTTATCCCACCACCTAGACACTTAAGAACTGCATAGGGGAAACTGAGGAAAACATTAAGAAATGTCCCACTTCGTCACAGCACCTTCCCCACATCTCACCACCACCGTGCAGAGGGAAAGGTGCGCCGCTGCCCCCGCCAGGCTAGCCAGAACTCCTGGAAGGATGCCATGAAGCCCACGTCCTCCAGCAGGCTGTTAGTGAAATGCCAAGAGGCCGGCCCTGGGCTCTCTGAGGTGAGAGAGGCCGTCATGGCCACCAGATGGCGGTCCAAGAACGGGGCTGGTCGCATGCTGGAGGAGTGGATCCGTGCAAGATGGGAGCGTGATAGATAAATGCAGTCTAACTGGGAGTGACTTCCACCCGGACATAGGTAGAGGTGGACTTGTGTCCTGGTGGTGGCCGAGCCAGACGTCCACCAGGGAGTGATGATGGGCGATTTCCCTGAGGACGCCCGCAGCGGCCTGGCTGCTTTCAGTTCCAGAGCAGTCCCACTCCTCGAGGGTGGTATTAAAATCCCCGCCCAAGACCAGGCACTCACAAGGATGGCGGACACCTGCTGATAGAAACACACCTGCTCCGCGCCTGATGTCAGGGTGTAGACATTGACCAGATTCAACGTTAACCCCTCACGCAAGCGTCGAGGTGCAGCAGGTGACCCAGCATGACCTTAGTGACCCCTAGCACCTCAGGCTATAGGGTGGGGGAGAACAGGGGGGCCACCCCAACCGAATGAGCGCTGAGATGGATGAAGTACATCCTGTCCCCCCATTCTAACTGGCTGCGGCAGTTGGATCCATGTGGGTTTCCTGCAGGAAAATCACAGAGTAGCTCCCTCCCCCAAAGGCAGGAGAGCACCTGGCACCTGCGGAGGCCCACCCTATAGCCTGGGTGTTCAATGTTGCAAAGATGGTGAATTTTATTGTGACGGCTGGGGAGGATCCTTGTGGGCAGGAGTGCCGGCGGCCCCCATTGGGCCCTGCAACAATCCGTGACTGACCCCAAAAGCCAGCAGGGAGTCATGGAAGTTGCGGGCCCGCTGGTAGGCCACAGTTTCCTGCCTCCTGGTCCCCTTCCCCTCCTCCAAAACGGCCCTCACGGCCCAAAGGACGAGATGGAAGTCCCCCCAGGGCAGGGGATCAAGCTTCACCGTGCCCTGGGAACCACGGGTGTCCACCAGGAAGCAGCGCAGCTCGTCCCGCAGCACAGTGGGGGACGCGGTCACGGACCCATTATCGTCCTCTGTCTGGTCCCCTGTAACGGGCCCACGGCGAGGGACAAACGGGGCAGATGCACTGTGCTAATACCGTTGGTGCCGCACAACCCGTCCCTATCTCTGGCAAGGGAGGGGGCGGCGGAGGAAAGAGAGCGCCCCATAGCAGGTCACTGAGGGGAGACGTGAAAACCGCCCCCTGAGGCTCATCCGATGAGAGGGGAAATGAGACAACCCCTGGGCTGGCAGCAGTATGAGAGGTGGAGGGGAAATAATCAGACACTGTGACAGGGCAGGAGTGGGGCTGGGGCCAGCAGCGAGGTCAGGAGCAGAGGCGGATGTGGGAGTGGGATCTCCGACGCCTCTCGACCAGGCTCGGGGCCGAGGGGATGGGGACGGGAGGGGGCCCTCAGCACTGCCAGGCCTGGGCGCTTCGATGATCTCGGCACCCGCAGCCACGGCATTGGGCCCGATGGCATCTGCAATAGGACCCCCAACTGGGAGGGAGGGAGGGCCGCTGCCCTGCACTCAAGGGCCCGTCTGCTCGGCACCCGCCATCACCACTGGGGGCTCGGCAGCCATGAGCAAAGTACCATCTGGGGCTGGGCAGATGGACGAGCCCAGGGGCCCCCCAGGATGGAGGGCAGAGGCAGCGGCCTGGGGTAGGAGGCAGAGAGGAGGAGGGGGTGGCGTGATCAAGCTGCCATCCAGAGCGAAGCCCTCGGCAAGGGGTCGTCCTCCCCCGGGGTGACCGGGGTCAGACCCAGGGCCCCAATTGCCTCAAAGATGGAGCTAAAATGTCCCCCCGCCGCCCCAGGGTCCTTCCTGCCAGTAACCTAGGCAGCAACCGCCTCAGCGTCAATGGGGGGCACAGATGACATGGGGATTGGGGGGCTCCATCCGAGGCCTCCTCAAGGAGGGACTCAGGGGGGGCAGTACCGCCCCCTCCACTGCCATGTCCTCCTTGGCCGGCTCCACCTGCAGGGCTCAGTTGGGCCGCGGCGTAAGGCTTGGTAGCGGTGCCCCCCCATGGTCTTTGCGGGGGGCCTCATCCCCCTCCGTGTCAAGGGGGAGGTGCTGAGCCCGAGCCGTCCTTTTGTCCTGCTTCCCCTGGACGCGTGCCCAGCCAGGGGCAAGGGCGCTGGATCCAAGGACTGGGGAGGCAAAGGGGGAACAACAGGAAGAAGGGATACCTCCCCCTGGGGCGTGCCCTCTCCCTAGCCCAGGGACGGCCCTGCCGCCCTCTCCTCCATGGGCCCTGCTGGACTGCATACGACGGAGGTGGGGCCTACCCACTCGTCTGGGTGCAACGGGGGGGGCTACCCCTGGGGCCCAAGTGGGAGCAATAGCAGAAGGAGGAGGGGCGACTAGGGGAGCCGGACAGCCAGGGTCGCCAGTGATGGCAGGGCTGGTGCTCTCCCGGGTCTCGGGGGGGCCCAGGCACCCCTCCATGCCGGGCCAGGGGGCGGACGTGCCCGGTTGCCCGGCAGAGGTAACACCGGGCCTCCCACGAGGAGTCGTGCACCCGGTAATGGACTCCCTGGTGGGGCACCAGAAAGGACCCCCTACTGCCTCTCCGTCGCGCCGCCGGGGGCAGTTGGATTTGGACCTGCCAGCAGAAGGACAGAACGTGACGGAGGGCAGGGTCCTTGCAGCCCAGTGGGAGAGCGCCGATAACAGATAGGGGGTTTCCCCAGGGTGGAGCGGAAGGGCATCATTGGGAAGGAAGGACGGGATGGAGGTGAAAACTACCTGTAAGCCCAGTTCCTCCAGGGGAAAAATGGGACTAACACCTCCCCCTGCAGGCCCATTTCCCCCGCCTCCTGGGCAGCGGCCTCTGATGCCATGAATACGACGACCTTCCTGTACATCTTGGAGGCCGCCACCATGGCTGTGGGCCCCACCACCTGCACCAACGCCCTCACGTAGCTCTCTACATGGGGCGAGGCGGGCACCAGGAGGCAACAGAGGCCGTGCTTCCTGGGCGGGGAAGGGACCCCGGCCGCAGGGATGGAGCTGGAAGCCGCAGTTGTGGAAGATGAAATAATGGCACGTGGAGGGGCTGTGGCCATCTGGGCATATGCTCTGGGGGCCAAGGGAGGGGAGCCCCTGGAGCTGGTGGAGGGAACAACGGGGGGGAGGGGGGGCTGCGGTGGGTGATGGGGT